GTTGCAATGTAAAATCACTGGCATTTTCTGATTTTGTGTGTGTGTGTGTGTGTGTGTGTGTGTGTGTGTGTGTGTATGCAAGAGGTAGGTGAGGAACAATATTTATGCAAACATAATGTGATTCTCCCCCCCCCTTTTTTTTCCTACTATGCCTTCAAATGTATAGGAAAAGTTTTGGACTTTAGCAAGGGGTTACATATTCTCACATTTCCTAAATGGATACATGGTCATCTGTACTAATAACTGCAATAACTACTCAGATACTTCTGAGATGTACGTAGGGATTTTTTAAAAGAGATATCCTGCTTTGTCATAATTTTTAGATTAAATGACATTTATTGATGTACTTAAAAGATGTAAACTGCTTGTCACCAATTTTTGTTGTTTGTAAACCATTTATGTCTTGACATATTTGAGGTTTTTCACTGGGAAATTGTTCTGCATTATGCTATCTCTGAAGACATGTTAGTGTATGCACTGTGTGGTGAAGGTACTACATTCCTATATAAATATGTGTGGGTATGATCAATTATATTTTTAACATTAAAGTGAATGTGGAAAGTAATGACAAAGTCCTACACTTTAAACATATTTCTAGTTTTCATTCAAAACAGTGCTAAATTTTAATATACAAAGAATCCATATAAGACCTGACTTCAGAAAGCCCTAGTTGGTCACTGTATAGTTGTCCAGTCTTTCCTTCAACTCATCAAAATGGCCATGGAGGGCAGCGCGTAGCAATCAGAGGGGAGTGGGGATGTCCACCATAGCCAATGGGGGCCAAATCTCAGCTCCTAACCACACCATCATGCACTTCATTGACAAACATCCTAGATCATGCCCATGGCAAAAAGTTGCATCAGGAGAAGAGGAAAAACACTACTTTTAAATTGGGAAAGCTAAAGAGCTGCAACTGTTGGGGGCTGGAGATAGGACAAAGGTAACATCATAAAGCCATGTCATTCAAAAATAGCTAACAGGGCAGGATTAAAGGAACATGAAGATGAGCCTAGATTCTCTTTTTCTTCCATTGTTTGTCTTCCTCATGGAGACTGTCTTTTTCTTTTTTTTATTATACATTTAGACAATACATAAAAAGACAGAAAAAAGAAAAATACAAATGAATAAACAAGGAATTTAAAAATGTAGAGATTATAATTATCCAGTATATTATTAATTATGAATAACTGAATATATTATTTTGTTTTAAAAGATTAGAAATTGCTATTAAGCTCTAAGCTAATCACAAATATCAAGAACCATGGTAAACACAGTATAAATCACCAAATAAGTTTATATGCTACAGTAAATTCAGTCCTTGTTGCTAAGAATCTGTCATAATTTGGGTATCTTGAAAAATTAAGATATGGCTTCTATGCGTAGAGAAACCCAAATTTTGGATGTGGTACAAATCCATGTATTAATTTGTAGTTGAGGAATGGTTTTTAGTTTCAACTGAATTCGATATTAGATAGCCGTGATGGGTGTAAATCTCCTGAAGAATTATAATCCTCTGGATTCACCCCTTAGGCACAGCCCTCAGGGGAAAATAGCTGTTCTGCCCAATTTTTGGCACTCAACAGCCAAAAATAATTCCTTGTACAGTTAAGAAGGAGAAAGAGACAATCAGTCTCTCTGCTGTGAAAACCACCACCTTGGAAAAAAAATCAACCTTGATTTTTTTTTTTTTAATGATTACTACAAGCTTGCACTTCCTGTAATTGTATGCCATGTATATTTCAGGCAGGAACATAAACATGCCATGATACTGCAGGTCACAATTGCAAACTCTTGTCCATTATTTTCATGTTGGTTTCTTAAGGCATAACCAGCAAAAAGTCTTATATTTCCTCTTGTTCCCTTCTTAGGCTCCCAGGTTAGCCAACTACAACTCTTAATTTAAAGGAAAAATGTCATAGAATCATAGGGTTGGAAGGGACCTTGGTGGTCTTCTAATCCAACCCCCTGACCAAGGCAGGAGTCCTCATACCATCTCAGACAAATTGTTGTCCAATCTTTTCTTGAAAACCTCCAGCGATAAAGCACCCACAGCTTTGGGAGGTTTATTAAGTTAAACGTACCTAGTTCTTTTAGCCGTTCTTCATAGGATTTAGCCTCCAGACTCCTTATCATCTTTGTTGCTGTTCTCTGCATTCTTTCTAGGGCCTCAGCATCTTTTTTGTATTGTGGGAACCAGAACTGGATGCAGTATTCCAAATGTGGCCTCACCAGTGCAGTATAGTCACTTCTCTTGATCTTGATACTATCCCTCTGTTGATGCAGCCCGGAACTGCATTGGCTTTTTTGACAGCTGCAGCACACTGCTGATTCATGCTTGTGGTCCACCAGGACATCTAGATCCCTCTCATAGGGACTACTGTTGAGCCAGGTACTGCC